CAGTGTAATTCTCTTCTTAGTCAGATTGTTGGAATGTTGAGGGAAGAGCTCATGAGACTAATAGGTGAAACACAAGACATTCAGAAAGAAAGATGATAATGAATTTTAATTTAAGTTTAGGGTTGTAGAGTTCTTGGATGTAGTTTGTAGTAATAGATGGCAATTGGATCTGGCTGTGAGAGTGGCATCTGGCAGCAATGGCAATGGCTGTGTTGGATTTGGCAGTAATAGATTTGGTAGTAGCTATGGCTGCAGCAATAAATCTAGACATGGCTGTTGCAGCAATGGATCTAACAGTGGTCATAGTGGTAGCAATGGATCTAGCAACAACATTGGCAAGGGCTTCAACCATGGCAGCAACAATGGATCTATGGCAGGGGTACTATCAAGGGATTTGGCTGTGGTGGTGACCTGTGTGTCAGTAGTGATAGATATAATTATAGTTGTGGCAAAGGCATTGGTAATGGCCTTGTTGGTGGTGATAGATTCAACTGCAACCATGGCAAAGGTGTTGGTAAGGGATGGTAGGGCTGCTGGCAAGAGATTCGGCTGTGGTAGTAGCACTATTTATGGTTTTGGCCCCGAGCTTATAGAGAGCTCAATTAATCAACATAGAATTTGATTAAAAAAAAATTAACAAAAATTTCATTATGCAATTCTAAATTGAATTCTTCAAAAATCTTGAATTTTAAGTGGAATAAAGTAGCATGAATTTTACTTTGACAAACTATAATTTATAATTGAACTTTTGATGAAATTTCTCTGATCAATTTATATGATTTGCTAGGAGACATTGTGAGTGATTGGGTTCCCAAGTTCACGTCCAAGTTTTGGCAAATGGTCTTTGAGAAGTTAAAGACTAAGTTGAGCATGAGTAGTGGTGAGCATCTACAATTGAATGGGCAAACAAAGCATATAAATCAGCTATTAAAAGATATGTTGAAGTTTTTTGTGGGAAATTTGACTTGACAGAGAGTATGGAAGAAGTACTTGCCTTTGCTTCAATTTACTCATAATAACACTCATCAATAGACTATTGGCATGTCTCTCTTTATAACAATGTATGGGTATGAGCCTAGGTCTTTTGTGAGTTTGAATTTGGCTTTGGTTTGGGTACCTCATGCTTGTGATTTCCTAAAGGATATATAAGATAAGCATGAATTGGCAAAGTTGAATATTAAACACCATCAATATCCACAACACAAAGCTCTTCTCTAGCAAGGCAAATCTCCCACACTTGATATACATGTTATGTGCTGCAATCCTGACCCAAGATGCCTATTTGCCAGCCTCTCTCAACCACATAGCAATGGAGGAGCTCGTGTTTGTCCAAGTCTATGACTCCAAAGCAAGCTTCCAAAACACTCAGCACTACCACCTTGTGGAAGTGGACACCTTCCAGTGCCATCCTATGGAAGCTCTCAATCAGTCTCCAGTTTGAGCTGTTTGCACAAAATCAAGTGAGCACTCCAGCTTGTCCTTCCATAGTGGAGATCATTGTGATGTAACTTGGTTTGGAGGCTTTAGATGAGTAAGAAGTACCACTACAAAAAATGCAGTAATACATTTGTGAAGGGATGTGGGTAGGATCCAGCTTGTGGTCTAGCAAGCCAATGCAGTAAGCTCCATCAAGCTTGCAATTGGATGATCTCCTCCTCCAAGCAGCAATTGGTGATTCCAGCGCTCTCGCATCAATTCTTCAGAGCTGAAGCAATCTAGAGCAGTGCAAGAGTATCCACACATGGATGATTGACAATGGAGGGAACCTTCTTTGGCAATCCCTTGGTCCAGAATTTTTGGGAGTTGGCAGCATTGACCACACACAAGCCAAATCCACGACCAGAATTTCTTCTCGTGGAAAATCTTGCTCATGGCATATGTCCAGAACAGGCAAATGATCCTCACGATGAGCTGCTTGGATTGATGCCTGCCTACAACACTGTTGTATGGACGACTATAATGAGTGGCTATGGAAAGGGCAGCCCTGGTAAAATATGGAGTGGCATTTTGGAACATGATGATATACGGTGAATGGCCACAGCAAGAGAGCTAGACTCATGCTCCTGGATGGAATCCACCCAAACAAATCCACTCTCATGAATTGAGGAAGCTTTGCCAGTGTTTGATCGAAGAAACCAAGCTCCAATGTGATGAGCTTCGCTTCAAGGGTGATCTGGAGAGGCAAGATCTTTGAGAGGATCTGGACTGACAAGACTCTCATCACTGGAAACACCATGCTCTGGGCTTACATGTGAAATGACTGCTTGGTGGAAGCCTGCAAGTTCTTCAAGGGAATGGCTTGCTGGGATGTTGTCTTCTTCTCTTGAGCTTTGAGGCTGCTCAAGCAGATGGACTTGGAAGGCAAAGGTTGTGTAGTTTGGTTTGCAGATATTCTTGTTTGAACATGGTTATGTTTATTATGATTTAAAGGTAGAGTTATTTCTCTTTCCTTTTCTTTTCTTTTCTTTGAAATACATGACACTAGTGTTTGTTAGGGAATATTTTGGAAAAGAGGTAATTATTTAATGATAGAGTTTATAGTGGTTATTTTATCCCTATTTATCTCTCAAGGTTTTAAAGATTTATAATGACAAATCTCATCCCATGATGCTTTTAATTATTTCCTTTACATTATTATCCCTTTAGTTCCTTTTAAATTGCTCATTTTAGTTTGGTTATGATTAATTGATCATGAGCTAATTTTTTTCTTTTTTTCTTTTCTGCATCAGTTTAAATCAATAAACTCTTTATCTTTGAGCATTCTAGACCTTGCAACCTCAATTGATCATTAAGATCCTTTAGAAAAAACTTCTATTCTAGTGGATGAAAGTACTAATGGAAGAGACAGTAACTTTTTAAACCACTTGAATCATTGCCTTTTACATGTTTAGCTGTGAGCAATAAGAAGCAAGGGATTAAGCTGAGCATTTAAGATTTTGTTATTTTACTGTTCTAAATAAAATGTAAGCTTAAGCTTTTATGGAATAAACTTGTCTGAATTTTAAAGTATAATAATCTAGACATATAAATGCTTCAGAATCCTAAGAGAGGTTGATATCTATGTTTATTGAAGCTAATTATCCATATTAATTATAAAAATATTAGATTTGACTATTAATAAAATATACTATTTTAAATATAAACTTTCTCCAAAGTATATTCTGAAATCTAGCTTATTAAGTAACTCCAGTCAACTTTAAAGCCGGATACTACTTTATTGCATAGTCCAACTTTGACCACTATAGACATAGAACCTGGGCTAGTGGCTTGGGAGAAGCCAGTTGAAGGAGTTTCAATTTCTTGAGCTTAAAAAGACATTGAAATTTCCTCAACACCCGTTTGTGAAGGTAGGATTTCACAATGGGTATGGTTTCAGTCTTGACAAACACAAGGTGCTACATCCTTGTCAAAGAATATATAAATAAATAGTTTGGTATTAGATATCATGTTGGGATCTTATGTTTGTCATTAGGCACCTCAGATTTAGAACAATGCACACGTATATGCACATATTTGATGGCAAGCTTTTACTCACTTCTGCGCTGGCACTATCCATCAATTCAGCAGCTCGGAATTTGCTCTCAACACATAAAAGAGGTCGTTGGACACAAATTTTGTTATCGCTCACGGATTGCCTCGCCAAGCAAGCTAGCAGATGCTGTCTTCACAAAGCATTGCCAATGCAAGGTATTCGGTATGCAAGGTATTTTTGTTTCTGGAAAGGCCGGAAATGAGAGCAATCGATAAAAGGAGATTCATTGTTGAATGTCGCGAACTAGAAACATTTACAACATGTCTAGAACTCTTCCTTGAGAAGAACTTCGGCAATGCAGCCAAGGAACAGCTTTTCACGCATAAGAAACAGGGTGGCAAGAAAACACTAGTTCGTAGATTCAATTCCAAAAGAAAGAGCACATACGTCTTATGAAAATTGAAAGAAGTGTATACTAGTACCTCGTCCTTGGCAAGCTTCTCCGTGTTGTGTACATAGCCGACGATACTTTTTCACTTGAATGATCTAGAGACTCTAGAAATCGATCGATCGTCGTGCATGAGATTTTTTTTATTGTTTCTCCCTGTGGTGCTGGAGTACAGTGAGAATCCAGCATCGCGTCTTGTGAAGATGCCCGACGTATGTGCGGCAACTGCAGGGCATCGATTTCAACACTATAAACTTTTCTAAAGTGAGAAGGACCCCTTTGGGTGACTTCATGCTGAGACGTGCTTGGCGGGTGTTTTCATTTCTTTCCTTTTTCTTCATTTTCAAGTTCTTGGTAGCTCAGATCAATGCTGGTTTTCTGAAATATTTCCCTTGAATTTATTTTCTCGCTTTTCTTTTCGGAGTTTTAAACGCACACATTTTGTTTTGTTGTGTGCGGTCGCTGGGTGATTGCGAGCGAGCAACGGAAGCAAGAATACGCTTGTGCTAGAAAGCAATGGACAGATCCAACAGCGATGGCTCTCGAGTTGTTGGAGGCTGGAAAGCGACGCCATGCCCGCCGGGACTGGGCGCCTTTAGATCCAATCCAGCCATGGAAGACGAAGAACTAGTCGCGTAAAGCTACGTTCTAGAAAAACTAGAAAAGCTAAACACTCGTTCGTCTTGACAGGCTACTTAATCGACCATAGTAATGGAGGTTAGACACAAAATAGTGTCTGTGAGAGTGACTAGCGAAGAAAAAAAGAGAGGTGGTGATAGCTTGGACCAGAGAGTGAGAGGCACAAACAAAGACAAAGCGGTGGTTTATTAGTGAAAGTGAACAGTTGTGACAAAAGCTATGGTTTTATTACCTTGAGAGAGTGAAAAGAATGTGTGACAAGAGCTATGGTTTTATTACCTTGAGGATGGAGTGGGGGAGTTACCGGGGTATAGTTAGTGGAGTGTTGTAATCGTTTGTAATCGTAGGGTATCGTCGGTGATGGGTCGTGAGGCCGGCCGGGCCCCCCGGTTGGTGCCCGCACATCGTCTCCTCCTCCTCTTCTTTTTCAAACCCCTCCTCCTCCTCTTCTCTCTCGCGGAATCGCGCCTCCTCTGCCTCCTCCTCCTCCTCTTGGATGATCATGGCGCCGGCTTGGTAGAGCGGCAGGGGTTCTTGATTCTTGGATCGAGCGGCGGCGGCGGCGGCGGCGATGGAGGCAAATGCAGGTCTCATTGCTGGATCTCACCAGATGAATCAGCTGGTGGTCATCCCGGGCGACGGGGTAATCCTTCCAATCCCTTTCTTGCGCGAGAGTTTGCTCTGGAATCGCGATATTTCGCTCGAATTCCCCGGCTGCTAGCTTGCTACCGCGGTGTTTTGCCTGCATCGCGATGCTGGATCTCGCGCGATCCCTTCGATTGCTCGAATTGGTCGTGCATTGGCTGCGATTGGATCGTTCTTGGCTTCCTTGTTTTGAAATATTTGGGCTGAGGTTTTGGGGATTTTGGCGATTTCTTACGTGAGGGAGGGGGAATTTGGTGCTCGCAGGTGAAGCCGCTCAACAGCGTCAACAGCGAGATGTGCCAGATTTGTGGCGACGAGGTGGGCGTGAGCGAGAATGGCGATTTGTTCGTCGCCTGCAACGAATGTGGCTTCCCGGTCTGCCGTCCTTGCTACGAGTACGAGCGCAAAGATGGCAACCAGTCGTGCCCCCAGTGCAAATCACGCTACAAGCGCCAGAAAGGTACTTTGATCTTCTTTCTCTGCTTGTTTCTTAGGAGCAATGCCACTAGCTCGTGAATTCTCGTTCTTGGTCAGTCTTTAACATTGATCACAACTCTTCGGACAACTTCTTTCTACCCACAGAATTTGTGTCTAGTTTTTCTTTCTTTGACCTCGTTTTGTATCGAACCTTCCATAACTCGTGTGGATACAGGGAGTCCGAGAGTGGAGGGTGACGAGGAAGAAGACGACGTCGACGACTTGGACAATGAATTTAAGGCGCTTCCTCAGCAGCAAACGACCGAGGAAATGCTCCAGGGGCACATGAGCTATGGACGTGGGGACGAGGAGAATGTTCACGTTGTTACACCGGGACTTCCTCTTCTCACCAATGGTCAAGAGGTACTTGTAGGGACATATCAACCATAACAAATGTATTGATCAATGATTGCTTGATTGTATCCTCAGGGTGTGGATCCGAATGAGATACCCCCAGAACACCATGCACTGGTCATTCCAAGCCATAAACGTGTTCATCCTATGTCGGATGACTTCTCAGGTGATCATTCTCTGTCCAGTGACTGATGTTATATCATTCTAAGCATTGTCTATTTCCTTTTCTAGTGAGGTCTATGGACCCGACGAAGGATCCGTCTGCCTACGGCTATGGAAGTGTGGCTTGGAAGGAGCGACTCGAAAGCTGGAGACACAAGCAGGAGAAAATGTCGATCATGATGACTGAAGGTGCTCAGCATTTCTCCGACGGTAAAGGTGGCGGTGACTACGGGGCTGACGGTCCAGATGCGCCACTGTAAGCTTTTAAATTCTTTCTTCTGAACACTTTACCGACTGACTGATCTTACACTCTCAGGACGGATGAATCGCGTCAGCCATTGTCGAGGAAGATTCCAATTGCTTCCAGCAAGATCAATCCTTATCGAATGATTATCATCATCCGACTGGCTGTTCTGGGAATTTTCTTGCGCTATCGAATCCTCAACCCCGTTAAGAACGCCTACGGACTTTGGCTCACCTCGGTTATTTGCGAAATTTGGTTTGCCTTCTCTTGGATCCTGGATCAGTTCCCAAAGTGGTTTCCGATCAATCGTGAAACTTATTTGGATCGACTCTCTCTGAGGTACATATATTCCTTCTGTCTTGCCCTCTTTTTCTCATGACATACTGTCAGATACGAGAGAGATGGCGAGTCCCAGCTATCTTCAGTGGATATCTACGTGAGTACCGTGGATCCTCTGAAGGAGCCGCCGCTGGTTACAGCCAACACGGTGCTCTCCATTCTCGCAGTCGACTATCCCGTAGACAAAGTGTCATGCTACGTGTCTGACGATGGTGCAGCCATGTTGACATTCGAGGCACTGGCAGAAACATCCGAGTTTGCACGTAAATGGGTGCCGTTTTGCAAGAAGTTCAGCATCGAGCCTCGAGCTCCAGAGATGTACTTTGCTCAGAAGATCGACTACCTTAAAGACAAAGTCCAGCCGACATTTGTGAAAGATCGTCGTGCGATGAAGGTGCGAATGAAGTTCCTTTTCAACTCTTCATTGACGTCATGAAAACTTTGCAGAGAGAGTACGAAGAATTCAAAGTGCGGATCAATGCTCTTGTCGCCAAGGCACATAAGATGCCTGAAGAAGGTTGGACAATGCAGGATGGAACACCCTGGCCAGGGAACAACACGAGAGATCATCCAGGAATGATCCAGGTTTGTTTCGATTTTCTGAAAGTCCAGTTTATTATAATTTGGAACACGCAGGTCTTCCTCGGCCACAGTGGAGGACATGACACAGATGGTAACGAGCTGCCTCGTTTAGTATACGTCTCAAGAGAGAAACGACCTGGCTTCAATCACCACAAGAAGGCCGGTGCAATGAACTCATTGGTAAGTTGCTGTAGAATCTTCTTTTTACATTACCATTGGCTTGATCCCAGGTGCGAGTCTCGGCTGTTCTTACAAATGCTCCATTCTTGTTGAATCTGGATTGTGATCACTACATCAATAACAGCAAGGCCTTGCGGGAAGCAATGTGCTTCATGATGGATCCTCTGGTTGGGAAGCGTGTGTGCTACGTCCAATTCCCTCAGAGGTTCGATGGCATTGATATTCATGATCGATATGCCAACAGAAACACTGTCTTCTTTGATGTAAGCAACTTCTTACTTTTTCACAGTCTTTCTTTTGATTGAACAAGTTCGTTTTTTGGCTTCCAGATCAACTTGAGAGGCTTGGATGGTGTTCAAGGCCCCGTGTACGTCGGTACAGGATGTGTGTTCCGCAGGCAGGCCTTATATGGATATGACCCACCGATGAAGAACAACTCGTCCAAGAAGAGCTCGTGTTGCTGTGGACCTCGTAAGAAGTCCAAGGCCTCCAAGACCAAGAGAATGGACTCGGACAAAAAGAAGCTCAACAGGACCGAGTCCAACGTCTCAGCCTTCAGTTTGGAAGGCATTGAAGAAGGCTTGGAAGGTAATAACGGCTGTCGAAAGCACTCGACTTACTTACCATCTTCTTACGCAGGATATGAAAACGAGAAGTCGGCCATCATGTCCCAGAAGAGCTTCGAGAAGAGATTTGGCCAGTCGTCCGTGTTCATTGCTTCAACACTGGCTGAAAATGGTGGCGTTCCAGAGGCTGCTTCTCCAGCAGCACTGCTAAAAGAAGCAATCCATGTCATTAGTTGCGGCTACGAGGACAAGACCGATTGGGGAAAAGAGGTATAGTGGTTATACTTGAATTCAACCGAGAACTTATCTTGGTCGCTTCGTCTTGTTTCTCTCTCAGATTGGATGGATCTATGGTTCAGTCACGGAAGATATCTTGACAGGGTTTAAGATGCATGCCCGCGGGTGGCGGTCAATCTACTGCATGCCTCCTCGAGCAGCATTCAAGGGATCAGCTCCAATCAACCTGTCAGATCGTCTCAACCAGGTGCTGCGGTGGGCTCTGGGATCCGTGGAGATTATGCTTAGCAGGCATTGCCCGATATGGTATGGCTATGGCGGCGGCCTCAAGTTTCTGGAACGAGTAGCGTACATCAACACCATCGTCTATCCCCTCACCTCCATTCCGCTGCTCGCGTACTGTACTCTCCCCGCCGTGTGCTTGCTGACCAACAAGTTCATCATCCCAGAGGTAAGAAGAAGAAGCATTGTTGTCAATCACAAAACTCTTGTTTCTAACTTGGTTGTCCTTGTTGCTGGCTCCAGATCAGTAACTTCGCGAGTCTCTTCTTCATCTCGCTCTTCATCTCCATCTTCGCGACGGGTATCCTGGAGATGCGGTGGAGCGGCGTCGGGATCGATGAGTGGTGGAGGAACGAGCAGTTCTGGGTCATTGGTGGCGTCTCTGCGCACTTGTTCGCAGTCTTCCAGGGTCTCCTCAAGGTGCTGGCCGGTATCGACACGAACTTCACGGTCACATCCAAGACCTCGGACGACGAAGAATTCGGCGAGCTCTACGCGTTCAAGTGGACGACGCTGCTCATCCCTCCCACCACTCTGCTCGTCATCAACATGATCGGAGTGGTGGCCGGGATCTCCGACGCCATCAACAACGGATACCAGTCGTGGGGGCCGCTGTTTGGGAAGATCTTCTTCGCCTTCTGGGTGATCGTCCACTTGTATCCCTTCCTCAAGGGGCTCATGGGACGGCAAAACAGGACGCCCACCATTGTCGTCGTGTGGTCGGTTCTCCTCGCCTCCATCTTCTCGCTGCTGTGGGTCAGGATCGATCCATTCCTTCCAAAGACCAAGGGGCCAAACCTTCAGCAATGCGGTATCAACTGCTAGGTGGGAGCTACTCTCTTTTTTCTCGCTCTCTTTCTCCTTGTGCTTCTCTCGCTCTATCACCGAAGTGGGAAAAGGTGGTACAAGGTTTGTGGTGGTTTTTTTGTGTAGATTTTCTGTAAACACGAACGAAGGTTTATAGTCTTTTTATTAGGAATAAATATATTTTGATACTCTCTCTTTCTCTCTCTAAAAAATGAGATGCTTTGGATATTCCTTGCTTTAAAGCACAACAAGCACGAGCTAGATGGTCGCGACTCGTGTGTGTGTGTTCTTGGCTCATGTTCCATTGTGTCTGTTACCTCTTTGCTATTCTCTGTTATACCGAATATGTTAACAGGGTTATTGGAAATCTAGCATCTCGCGCTGGATATTTGTAGCGCTTGAAACATTCCAGGCGTGGTCGCAGCAGCCGTTCTTCCAACAAGAATGAATCTTGCGTTGGAAAATTAAAGTGATCTAAATATTTCAGGCACGCTCTGGTAATGAAGTAGGCATCAATCGCTCACTGGAAGTTTGCTTCCAGGCTTACTGGAGCTGCTGGAGATATGCAGGGCGCCATCACAGCAGTACATCCAAGCAGAACGGTAATGAAGTGGAAGTCACTTCCATCGCTTTACTTGTCGAAATTTTCTTCCAGCCAGCTCATGCACTATGTCCACGCAGCGACCAGAGGCCTCTTGAGGCTAGCAGTCTAGCACTCTGGACTAGCCGTCATATTGCTTATGGCCAGTGCACCTCCTAAAGGATGGGGATGTTCTTATTGGTAAGTTTTTCCATTTCTGTGTGAAAGTGTCAACATTAGGCATCAGCTTTCCTAATGATTTTTTTCTTTTTTTTAACATCGTGTAAAAAAACTCCAAAGTATATTCAAGCATATTTCAAGTTAATAACACTAATTTAAATTCAATAAAATAATTTATTTTTAATATTTTTTATCTATTATTTAAACATCTAAAATATATAATACTATGTCAGTAAAAGATTATTTATATAAATGCATATGGGTTTTTTAATTATTTTATTTTAGGTTAGTCAATACCGTTCTTGTATATTCCAAATGATTTAATCATTCTGAAAACAGAGGAAAATCTTTCCACAAACCTTAAGAATGACCCACCAATTTAGTTAAAGATAAAAGCTTGAAAGTGAACAAAACAGTAAAGGAATTAAAGTTTACCATCAACAAAGTGTGATTGGAAAGATTATGTCGGTATGCACTATCACACATAGTAATGAAAATTTTAAGAGCTATTATAAACTTTTCTTGTGATGACTTCAACTGTTAAAATCAGGAAATAAGAAATTAAAGCTAAAAGTTATGTGTACCACTAAATTAAACACTATGTTCCTACTTTTTTAATGAATTTTTTTTTTGTTTTTTAACATTGTATTCCATATATAAAAAAACTCTGAAGTATATTCAAGGATATTTCAAGTTAATAACACTAATATAAATTCAATAAAATAATTTATTTTTAATATTTTTTACCTATTATTTAAACATCTAAAATATATAATATTATGTCAGTAAAAGACAGGGCACGAACTCTTCAGCGTGCTCTAGCACTTATTTAAGATCGGCAGCAACTGTTTCCCTGTATTTGATGAGCCATATGCATATCTAGAAGCCAGCATAGCATAGAACTCCTCTGGTGTTGGAACATTACGCCAGTGAAAACACAGACTGCTGTAGATGTTGGCCAATGATGCAAAGGGGCGCCTGGACAGTGCCAATGAGCTTTAGAAGATCAGGTTGTGTCGCCATCTCTGTTCCTAGCATCATGGCATCTGAAGCCAACCAGGGGGTATCTGCAAACTACTCTATGAGAACAAACAAAGGCAACTTCAATGCAAGTCATTACCAACATGTTCAGAGCAGGGTACATGGAGGGAGTTTCCGGACATGGGGGTTTGTAATCCCCCATGTTTGGTCCAAGAAAAACTAAACGCTACCCAATGAAGTTGCCTGTCATAACCAATGTTTACAGTTTCAGACTGGTAGAATGAGGCCGTCCAATTGGGTTTTTTGGGGGGAAATCTCGGAGGCGGTGTCCGCCATGCGTCCAAGGGGTATCTAGTGCGACCAAGCGGTAGCTAGCTTGGATGCGATAGAATGTGGTAGAATGCTAATCGTTGCGTTGGAAATTCGAAATATTCCAGGCACTGTTGCAGCAGTGCGTGGTGATCTTCCGCTGTCGCTGTGCGTGCATCCAAGCGGTAACTAGCTTGAATGCATTAGAATGCTTGTAGATCGATTGCGCCATCTTGCAAATTTCCATGCAGAGATCGAAATATTCCAGGCGCGGTCGAGGCAGCGCTCCCGGGCGGGCATCCAATCTACGGTAATGAAGAAGAAATTCAATCGCTTGATCGCTCGTGCTTCCAGGTACACCAGAGATGTCCAACATAGCTTTAGTTAAGTGAGAGCGTGTAACAGAGAGTAACGGAGAGAAAGGGAACCAGTGCTACACAATGGAACATGAGCATGATCCAAGAACAGACACACACACAGACATGATCTAGTTCGTGCTCGTCGTGCTGCCTTGCTGCTGCTCTAGGCACTGGTGCCACTCTCGGCACTTGTCGAGCTCCTCCTCCACGCGCTTCCTGATCCTCTGGATTCCTTCCGGGGTATGCTCGTCGGGGCCTCTCTCGTCGATGTTGGTCGGACGCTCTAGGGAGCGACGGGCTCATACTTGTTATTGCCCACCACGGCCGCCACTGCATCCTCGTAGCTCCACCCAGTGATCATCCCATTTGCTATTCGATGCTCACTTTCTTCTCCATGGCTGCGTACCCTTTTAAATACAACGGGCAGGACCTTTTCATTTAAGGAACATGCTTTTAGAGCAAAATATTTTTGAAGAAGGGAGCCCATATTAGCATATTCTAAGTATAAGGTCTGTATGAACAGACTGACAAGTATGAGCCGCTCCAATCATAATTAGAACCGGAGATTTCGTGGTCTAGCACTAGTAAACCCGAATTCAAATCTCGGCAAAACCTTCAGAAAAAACTCCTACAAACTAGAATTGGCAAATTGATACACGCTGGAAAGGATCACGTAATTTGCTGACGACTTCTCTTGAGCTGCGGATCTAATGGCGCTCTCTCCAGCTGCCTTTGCGAGCCCCTCATCTCTGTGTAGCTTGCAGCCACCCAGCAGAATTCTGCACGTCACGCTGTCGGGCTTGAAAGGCATGTCCTCGGCCACTTCTTTGGCTTCCTCGAGCCTGCCATTCCTCGCCAATGAATCCATCATCACTCCGAAATGCTCCCTCGTTGGTTTCATCATATGGTCCTGCAGCATCGACACGAAATTGTCCCGACTCTCCTCTAGCAACCCAGCTTGACTACACGCCGTGAAGAGATTCAGAAACGATGCCTCGTCTGGCTTCGCACCATGGCAAACCATCTCTCGGAATATCTCTATGGCTTCCAAACCCTGTCCATTCTGGACATAAGCTCCAAGCATTGCATTCCAACAGTAGCCATCGATCTCACCTCTTGCGAGGTTGTCATCAAAGATCTTCTTTGCATTCTCCGTCTGGCCGTGCTTGGACCAGGCAGCTATGAGAACCCAGCACCCTGACAGAAACTTTGGCATGCTCGCAACAAGCTTTTCCAAACAATCGACGGTATCGCCAATCCTAAAACTCGCTGCCAGCATGGTGTTCCAAGACACTTCATCGTGCTCGGGCATCTCGCCAAAAGCTCTCCGTGCCTCCTCCAGCTTCTCGTTCCGCTCGTATGACACGATCATCAGGCTCCACGAGTGTAGATCCCGCAATGGCATTCGTTGGAACGTGTCTTCAGCGTCACGAAGATGCCCGAAACGGGCATAACCATGAATCAAGGCCGTCCAGGCTACGCAGCTCCTGCAAACTAAGCGGTCAAACATTGACTTTGTGTCAACCGGTTGACCCGACTGCGCCGTAGCGACGATGACAGCAGTGAGTGCAAATCCGTCGTGAGATGGCATCAAGTCAAATGTCTTCTTCGCATATAAAAGGTGCCCTTTGAAGGCATATGCTGCAATGACCGTGGTGAAGAAACGAAGATCTCTCATGGGCGCTTCATCAAATAGAGCTTTTACCTGGTCAATATCTCCGCTCTTTTCAAATGCCTGGAGAATTGAAGTCCAGGAGATCTCGTTTGTTCTTGGCATCTTGTCAAAGAGGCATTTAGCTCTACACAGATACCGAGCTTGGGTATAACAAGAAAGCATTGAGTTCCAGCTGATGATATTTCTCTCTGGCATTTTCTCAAAGATTTTCTCAGCTTCGCACAGTTGGCCACCCGAACCCATTGCTGCAATCATTGAGTTGTACGCAATGGTGTCGTGCATGGGCATTTTCTGGCAAAACTCGCAGTGATAATCGATTCCTGAGGCCGACGCCATTGCTGTCCAGCTTACAACATTCCTCCTGGGCATCCTATCAAACATTTGTTTCGACTTTTCGAATTCCCCGTTTTGAACAAGAGCTGCCGTGATCAAGTTCCAGGCGACAATGTTCCATTCGGGCATTCTTTCGAACACAAGAGTTGCCAGAAAGATCTCGTTCATGTTTGAAAGAGCTTGTGCCATTGCTGTCCAAGAGATGACATCCCGCGATGCCATGCTCTCAAAGAACTCTTTGCTTTTGACAAAATCCCCCGTCTGGGCAATTGCGGAAAGAAGCAAATTACACAAGGCTGTGTCATGCCTGGGCATGAGATTGAAAAGAGAGATTGCTCGATCAGTTTGATTACTGCGGCAGTATGTTCCAAGCATGACACTCCACGAGAGAAGACTGCTTCTGTGTGTCATATCAACATTGAAAAGGAATCTTGTGTTTAGTTATCACTATAACTTGAATGCTAATATTTGCAAATGGTGCTCTTCTTCAATTTGGTTGGATCTTTCAAGAAGTGGGAGGTCTTCAATTTAATGCATGTGTTATACCTTCTAAGTTCTTCTGTAGGACAGCTTTTCGGACTGATAATTCAATAATCACCAATGAGCAATTGAGAAAACTAAAGAGTGAGAAAAAAAAAAAGTTTACTTTTATCAGCATATCAGTTGGAAGCCAAGCAGGAGAAGTTGGTATTCCAGCCCAAGCAATCTGAATGCCAAAAAGAAACATCACTGGCATCAGTATTAATTCGTTGGAAAAAAACCATACTTACCAGTGCATATTCACCAGTTTCGAACTGTCTTATGTCCAAAATCTGAAAGCAAAGAGAGCTTGAAGTATTTTCAAGTAGTTTCAAATGCCCGAGCGCTCACCTCTCCCCTATCCTCGTAGATGTAATCCAGGCCTTTGTAGTACGTGGGGTGCCCGACTGATAGATACTATAACACAAAGATAGCTCAAAACCAAGAAAATAATAGCTAATGGATACATACATTTATGCTGTTGAGATACTTCTCCTTGTCGACTCTCACGATTTGGCCTTTTTTCACTAGTAATAATCCAAGGAAACCATGAGCGAATTCGTCAAGAATTCTAGACGAGGACTTAACTGGAAGGCTTCGGCGGGGTAGCAGCAGCTGGTGGCGATGAGGTCTCATCGCTCTTTGTCGAATTCGCACCACCATCATCGGTTGCTGCTGCCACAACCAAGCAAACTCTCTGCAAGGAAAAGAGAACGAGTAAAACAAGTATTCCAGATCCAGAGTACCTGCTTGGAAGGAGCTACTGGAAACGAGAACGTGAATCCAGTGTCTGCTACTCGTCTAGTTCCTGCAAAACAAGCACACATTGTTGCCATGCCTTTCTTATCCGCACACCACCGCATATTCTTCGTCAAGTCTGATTGTTATTGCTAAGCTCAAAACAGTTATCCTCCTGTACACCTCTTTGATAGAAGAATACGCACCTCCTGGCTCGGCTCCTATCCCTTGATTGTGGGATAAATGGAACCATTTCCCAGGTTGCTACTTGGCAATCCACTGGAATCCAAAGAAGATGACTTCCTTGGTTTGCTAGCCTTGGGTGATCCCATGCTGTAAAACTCAGTGCTTACCGCGGGCACTCCTCCTAGTCTCGAAGGCAAACCGGTGGCGTCACTGGCAGATAAAGTTGCCCGACTGGGAAATTCATACTCTAGAGGAAGTTCCTCGATCGTCTGAAACACAAGTATTGATCAGTGAAGAGCGTTAAGACATTTTTTGTTCTTTACCCATGCAGCTTGCTGGAGAACTTTCAGGACCTCCTTGCAGCGCTTTCGCTTTATCGCTATCTCCTCCCTTTCTTGTAGAAGCTCTTCAAACATCGCCTCCCTGATAGAAATGTGAATAAACTTGACCAACAGTTCGTTTCTTATACCTGTACAGCTTTCTTATGAAGACATTGTGGAGCTCACGTTTGGCGTGGTTAACCTGTAACAGAAAACCTTAGGTACCACTTGCAATGGTAAGGTGACAGCATACGCACCAAGAAGTGCATGATCGCCTTTGGCACGGAATCTTGTATGTTCTTTCTCACAATGTCGTAGTAGGACTTGAGTAGTAAACGCGTCACAACTATTTCAGTTGATTCCTGCTCTGTTTGCGCATCACTAGCTCTCAACACCAGCGGTGGCTGTGAAGACACACGATCAGGCATGGCCAGAGCTCAGAGATAGCAATGACTCACCTCTCTCAGCCGAATGCTGGTGTAAGTAGGCTCCGGGCTTTGGATCGGCTCATTGAACACTCGGGTGACATTCGCGTCTTTGCCATTAGGACGCGAATCGCCAAAAATTGAGGATATACCCCAGCTTGTACCACTCGGAATACCTGTTTCTTCTAACAGAGACAATTCAATTTTTGTTTCTGATAGATAAACCTTGACTCACCCGTATGATGTGGCTTCTCGTGCTGATTAGCTGGTTTAGAAACCTGCGCATATGCACATGTTAGCCCTCAAACGAAAATGCTGTTAGAGCATACATGATCCAAAAGAGAAGATTGATTGTTTCTTGCCAGGATTGCTCGAGCCCTGCCGCCTTTGTCCCCCTTCTCCGCCAGCTCAACCACGACGTCCTACAGAAGGATCAGACATCTCTTCTGGACACAGATTATTAAAAGTACCTTGGATTTGATATTGGAAGCCGTTAACACAGATCCACGTTGTTGCTGCAACGCGAGTTCTACGGCCTTGCTTCCTCCAATGAATCCCGGGTGCGAAGTATTGATGTAATCCATCTGTTTTACACATGCGGTTGAATTCAGAAATAAAAAACAAAGAGAGACAGAATTGTACCTCCATTTCAATTAGATGACCAATCATAGTCTCGGCAGGAGAAAGTCCCTCCCGCAAAAAGCTTGCAATAACCTCTTCAATATTGCGTCTTAGAACGGGAAAGCGTTGCAGCTCCGAACTTTCACAGCGATGAGATATCTATATTCCAACAGCATCATGTAAAACAGATAAATCTGATCCAGCCATACCTTAACAAGCTCGTCGTAGATAAATCTGGCACACTGCAAACTTGGTTCTAGCAAGCGAGCTATCTGCCGACGAACGAGTACCTCAAAAGGAACCTGGAAGAAACTCCGAATGACAACGAAAAACAAGATACTGAATAGTGTACCTCGGGCACAAACAGAACATTTTTTGGACCAGTGGCATTTTGAATGGCTGTTCGTATATCTTCATCAGTCAGATCATCACATGGATCAACCTCCTGTAGAAAAATGTTAGAAGGACGTATAACAAAACTAAAAAACGCACGTCTAAGCTTTTGACGAAAATTGATTGGAATATGTAGTGAATACGAGCTCCTCCAGATAGTTCAACAGTTGACATCTCTTCGTTTTTGCCATCCACAACTGATGAAAAACCTGAAATGCAGGAAAAAGAATTAAAATGCAGATTACTTTTTCAGTCTAACGTACTTTGAGAATACTTCGTGATGATACCCAACAACAGCATCCCCTGGCCATTCTGCATGATAATTAATACCAATGACTATACACGCAACCATCAAACCTTCGATTCGGTCAGCTCCCCGTACGTTGCAAGTTCTTTTTGAAGTGTAACCATCTGTGTGTTTATTCGAGCCTTGAGATCGGGTAGAATGGTTCGGATGTGTTGAACTAGAATCTGTCAATCATTCCCGTCAGTCCTAATCTGTAAGGCATTTCAGGATACCTGATTAAGTTTCTTTGCTAGTTGTGGAATCCCGCAACGATCCGAGAGGCTATGATATACCTAAACATAACGCTTAGCTTGCGAAACAGATGAACGAGATATTCATACCGGTCGGCTGCGAAAGAACTGCTCTTCGTACATAAGCGCGTCCTGTATGCTTCTATTGGACGTGATATCCTGCAAAATTGAAGAAGACCAATGACGCTCCTTGACAAACCCAGAAAGCATGCCCTACCTCTTGACTACGATTAACGACACCAATGTAACCAAGGCGTAAGGGAATAACACTCCCAAGAAGGAAGTTGCGAGCATCAGTGCCTCTGTCCATGATATCAAGCTGACAGCAAGAACTACTGTTAAACTCCAATAACTTGTTTTGACTTTAAAAGAAATTCACCTTAGTGATGACTCCAATGGTCCGAGAGCCTATCGTGTCGCAAAAAGAAGAAAGCTTAGGATCGATTTCTTAATTAGAAGGGAATGTGCTTACCATCGGGATCCGCAATGCGTGCCATTTGGAGGGCATCTGAATTGGCCAGGTCGGCATTGGCAGGAGAAACCGCTAGAATTATGCACGTCTCATGCTTGATGTAAGACAGGATCATGGTTCTTATTCGAGCTTCAATGTCCGTGGGTTGATCTCCGACAGGGACTTTGGTGATGCCGGGCAGATCGACCAAAGTGATATTGAGAACCTTTGGCGAGAAAATTTTCAGCCTTATCTGCTTATCTGAGATTCCCTTGTTGGATCCCAGCTCCCGATCAGTCTCAGCCTACACAAGACAAACGTTTAGATTCTCCGACTCATCTAGAAAGAAAAAATACCTGGATTTCCTTCCGGATTGCGGAAAAATCCGTGAAGCGCCTGTTTGGCAGATGAAGGAATTCTCCCCATTCCACAACCTCATCGCCACGCCTGGTGGTCTGGACGAGCTGCAACACCAGCGGGCGGCGAGTGCAAATATCACAGCCCCGGGGCAAGAAATCCCGACCGACAAGAGCCTCGAGAACGCTGGATTTGCCGCTGCTCTGGCTCCCAACCACGGCTACCTGAGGAAGATCGATTGTCGATGCGCTACCTAATTGCGAGAAAATATCCTGGAGCTTGTTCACGAGTGGAATGACATTCTGGCCCAGCGGAGGCGACGCCGCAGCGGTCGATGGAGACGGTGGCGTGCTCGTCACTCCCTGATCCATATCTCGCTCAATGCTATCTAGAATCGAAAAGAATGCCCCGAATGCCCTGAATCGATCGCCGGCAGGAGCGCGAGCTACAGACTAGGCCAGCGCTTCCATCGTCGCGCGATGGATTCCTGCCAGCGCCACGAGCCCTAAAACTAAAACCCTCGTTTCTCCTCTCGACCGTTGGATGGCTACAAAGAAAAGTCCCACGCCGTCACGAATTCTACCGAGTTGTAAACTTGCTGGCAAAGAAAATGCCACGCGTGCTTGACGTGGCGCGTGACCTGGTGTGATTACTTGTAACAGCCCTAACCCTAACAGTGGAATGAGGACGATAGAATGGAGAAAGTGCTGGAGAAGCTTGCGGTGCTCCACGAAGGAGAGGATAAACACACTCGGGTATGGAAGCTCAAATTCCTTGCCCTCCACAAACTCCACATTTCTTTTTCTTTTAGGTGGTAGTGCAAAGCAAGCTGCCTTACATACCAAAGAAATCCTTTCTTCCTGGCAAAGTGAAAGAGGTGATCAACGAAGTGTTGCGGGAGAAGCTCACAGGAGTCCAGTACGATGGAGAGCAAGCTCCATACTTGGTTCGCGAGATTGCCGACGAAGTCAAGAATCGCTGCAAAGGTAAGTTCCAAGATCATACTTGCGCCTTTGATCCACCAGAATGTGGTGTTCTTCCAGAGCTTCACTTCGAGAGATATAAGATCGTGGTACAAGCAGTCATTGGCGAGACGCGAGGCCAGGGACTGCAAATGGCGGCCAGATGTTTCTGGGACAAAGATACGGATGACTACACGAGGGATACCTTCCAAAACGATAACATGTTTGGGATCGCCGCGGTGTTTGGATTGTACATGTATTGATTGAGATTCATCGGTGCTACTCCTGTGACCAGACAAAAAACCATCGATCGAGAACTTTGTCAAGGGCTGGTTTTGCTTACCTGACGCTAGAAAATTGTCTAAGTCGATTGAGCTCAAGCCCTGGCAGTATCACCCATCACCCTGTTGTTTTGTAACTTGGTGACTACATGAACGAAAACTTGGCTTACATTGGTGAGATTGTCTCTTGCTGAGGAGTCCGCTTGGATTTGTGCTTACCCTTGCGGTCTCGTTTCTTACTCCTAAGCCAGGTGGAGAAATTAGAGAGAATGCATAAAAGACGAGGGGAGAAAGACTTACTCGTCTTGTAGTCCTGGATTTCTACAAAACTTTAGCTTCCTGTCGATGCGTCTTACTTCCTCTTCGATAGGTGTTCTTGCAGCATCAACCTACGTGCTTATGATGAAATCTCCCAAAAGAATTTGAGAAAGGCGTACCAGTGCAGCTATCTGGTTAAGCATTCCGACGAGCTCCGAGTACGAGTGTTTCTGCTGTTGCCGTTCGCATACCCCTCGCAGGTACCTGAGACAAAGGCCTCAAGCATAAAAACACCTCAAACTAAAAAGTCTTACTTTTCCATGTCTATTGCTCTTTCCTGAACATTTGCGCTTCGCAGAGCTGCCAAGGCTAGCTTCACAGAGAAAACAACAAATGAGATGGCACTTCATTAAAGATGCTTCCCAAGTACCTGTCCAGGAGGAAAGAGGAGCGGGCAGTCCGTCAGAAGCATTGCGTCCACCTTTCGAATCGCTTCACTTTGGAGGTCCTACATAATAATCTAAGTCAGAAATGGCAAGGGAAAATAATCCAGCAGGTACCAGTATTTTCTGAGAGACATTCTCATCCTTCGCAGCGTCCGCCCATTTCTGCGAGCTTAGCCTTTAAGAACGGAGCGAACAATAACTGGATCTTCGTGCTTGCCTGAATGTCCAAAACAAAGCCGTCCAAGGATCGATAGGGAGCATATACAATCAAGTCGAAATTGAGACCCTGAAGTTAAAACAAGGAATTAGCCTGCCGTGAATGATGCGGTCTGAAGAACCTGTAACAGCGTTAATTCGTTTTTTAGGATGACTTGGTGATCTTGTTGGATTCCCTTACCAAGCTCCTCGGCTGAGACGTGAAACTCTTCAACTTTACACGATATGTAAATGCATGTGAGCCTGAAAAATAAACGAAGTATAAGCAGCATTTTCACACCAGCAAGGTGGTCTTACATTATATGCTTTGGATCGTGCTCCATCACAGACCAAGAGAGGTAAAAGCGCTTGAAATAGAGCACAGCAGTGGCCTGGACACAAACACGTAGATTTTGTATCAAACAAGAAGTACTGCTAGACGAACCTGGATTTTATTTGGAAAGGAGAAAGCTCCGCAAACTTGCTGTATTTTGTGCTCGTAGTACCTTCGAATGAACAGCTCTTCCTCAATCTTCAAAGGCTCGGGAAGTTTACTTGGAGCGCCTGAAAAGAAGCAATCGTTTCTAAAATCTAAAAGGAGTGAAGATACCATTCTCTGATCCAGGATACGCCAATGATCCATCCGGTTGGATTTCAACGCGAGTAGCGCCGTGCTGGAACGAAATCTCACTCATAAGCAGGAGTTACTGAAAGAATCTTACTTGCTGAAGCGCTTGGACAGCTCTTGCATTGGCCGCGGACGCTTTCTCCACCTAAACAAGAGAGATTTCGCTCGAAGATCCACGGGAACACTCGCTTACCAGGTCCTGCACTGTGAAGATCCACCGATCGCGATGCGTCGAGGTGAGGAAATCCGCCATGACACGAAGAACTCAAAAGCCCTAAACCTAAAATACAATGCCAGTGTATGGACAGGCATGCCTGCTTGGAGCGTCTCAATGCGTGCCATACGCTCCCACAGTCCCAAGAGATGGCCACTACCGTACGGAGCCACTTCCCTCACGACCTCTTCATGCAGAACAAGCTCATCGAGATGTACGGTCGGTGTGGCGCCGTGGATGCCGCCCGGCGAATATTCGATGCCGTCGACGCCAAGAATGCCTTCTCATGGAATCTCATGCTCACGGCATATTCCAGGAACGGGCGCTTGGAAGATGCCAGGGATGTGTTTGAGACGATGCCCGCGAGGGACATGGTGACCTGGACGGCCATGCTGACTGGATATGCCCAACACGGGTATATTCCTCAGGCCGAGGCTTTGCTCCATGAGATGCCCCAAGCGAATCTTCCTTGCTGGACGGCGGTGTTGGTCGCATATTCCGAGAATAAAAAGCTTGATCTTGCACAGATGCTGTTTGATGAAATTCCTCAAAGGGATTTGGTGTGCTGGACGGCCATGGTAGCAGCATATGCCAGGAACGGGTATGTTTTCCAGGCTAAACATCTTTTTGACGAGATGCCCGAAAGGAATGTTTTTACGTGGACTTTGATGCTATCTGTCTACTCGGAGAACGATTGTGTTGATGAAACCAAGTCGATGTTTGATGAAATGCCCGAGAGAAACCTCGTCTCATACAATGCCATGATTTCTGTGTATGCCTCGTCTGGGCATTTGCAGCAAGCAAAAGAGATGTTCGATCATCTACCGGAACGTAATTTAGTTTCGTGGACAAGCATGATCACTGCCTATTCTGTTTACAGTGATGTAAATCAATCGAAAGAAACATTTGACGCCATGCCGGAGCAAAATCTCGTGTCATGGAATGCATTACTCTCAACTTATGCCCAGAATCCTGGTTACTTTGAATCTGCGAGGCTGATATTTGAAAGCATGCCTCAGAGAAACCAGATCTCGTGGAATGCGATGTTGTTGGCATGCGCCGACAACGGGTTTCTCAAAGATGGCGAGAGAATATTCTCTCAAATGCCGGAGCGGACGCTGGTGACCTGGACTACAATGGTCCTGGCATATGCCCGAAACGGGCATATCCAGTCGGCAAAGACAATGTTTGGCGCGATGAGTCAGCATAGCCTAGTGACGTGGACAGCAATGCTGGCAGCTTACGCGGACAATGGCCTGCTAGAGGACGCCCGGCAAACGTTCCTGAAAATGCCGGAAAAGAACCTGGTGACATGGACGTCTATGCTCACTGTATATGCCCACAACGGGTATCTAGAAGAAGCGACTCAAGTCTTTGATCATATGCCCGAGCGAGATCTTGTTTCCTGGAATGCGATTCTCACAGTGAACGCAATGCACAATCAGTTTGAGCAATCACAGTGTATTTTTTATTCGATGCCCGCGCAAGACACTGGAACCTGGAACATTATGCTCGCACTGTACACACGGAACGGGCATATCTGGAAAGCGAAGAAACTCTTTGATCAAATCCCGGACAAGAGCCTCGTCTCATGGACACCAATGCTAGCTGCGTATTCGCGAAACGGGCACACCCAGAAAGCCTTGATCATGGCGGAAACGATGAAGCTGCTGGACATGGCGGACGAGGTTTGCTTCCTGGAGCTTCTCATCGCTTGCAGCCATGGAGGCAAGCTCTACGTTGGCTTGAGGAGCTTCGTGTCGATGCAAATGGATTACCACCTTAAGCCCACCAAGCAGCACTACTGTTGCATGGTCGATCTTCTTGGGCGGGCCGGGTATCTTGACGAAGCTCTGGAACTTATCAAGACCATGGCGTTTGTTCCCGATGTGTTGGAGTGGACGTGCTTCCTCGCAGCGTGCAGGAGCCACAGCAAGTCCGAGTATGGCGCTAGAGCTGTCAAGAACCTCTTGAACTCTCCCACCTTGTTGGATGGAACTTTGTATCGTTTGCTGGCCAATACTTTGGCGATCCGGAATCGGCTTGAGACGATGGCTCGTTGATTTCTCTCTGCAAAGGTTCCTTCTCCCAGGAAGATCTACATCCACACTGGCGGATCAGTCAGTGTTTCCTGGATCTTTGAATGTATGTTTGAAAAGCTAAGGAGTCCAGCAAGAACAAAGATTAAGAACAGTGACACGTTGCGCCCCGCATCGAGATTGTGACTTGGTAGGTTTGTCATCCACCAAAACTACAGAATCTGGCCGATTTTTCACCACTTTAGCGCATTCTCGGAGTAAACTATATTTTCTTGGATGGAAGGTCTGGGCTTGAAAGCTTTAGATGAAGAGCTTGGATCTCGGGAACAACGCAAACTTACGTAAGAAAGGGTGACGTAACCGGATCACCACCGTAGAGATATCCAGCACATGGAGTTGGGGTACGGTATCTCCCGGTATAGTTATACTCCTCGATCGGGCAAGTTGGCCTCGGCCGGAGATGAAAACTCTAAAACGAGTGTTTCTTGCACGTGAAACCGGGTTGGCATCCACTCGGTCGCAGTACCTCGCAAATCCCAGAAAGAGTTTTCTGGCGAGAGCGCGACACAGTTTGAGAAAGAGATAGAAATCGGCAGCAAGGCAATCCAGGAAACCAACAACAGGGCTACATAGGCGTACGAGGATTTTCATTCTATTTCGAAACAAAGGTCGAGCAATCTCCCAGAAAATTGAGACCTGTTCGGAGGGAGCAGATTAAACAAGGAGTTTGTGGAAAGGCTGGTCATGTTGATGCCTCTTTTTAATTCTGAAGGCAAAGAGAATCCATGATAAACTAATTGGTTCTCTCGATTGTTCCAGAGTGATCGTCCAAGTACGTACGAAAGCGTGGAAGATCCAAAATTCTCCCAAGTTTATGCTCGTGGAAGGAAAGCTCCTCAAACCGGATCAATCTTCCTGAGATTTTTTTTTTTCAAGTCTTCTTTGCCATCCTTCGCTTTGGATTCAGCACCGACGAATTCTTTCGGAAAATGGGAGCAGGATGAATCAAATTCCTTGTGGCAGTACGTCAAATGGAGACACCAACCAACCAGAATGGTTTTTTTTAGTGGAGAAGGACTCACGAATAAATCACGTCAAAAAAGGTAAGGGAGGAAAACGATCTTTCGATCAAAGATGGATCTTCAAAACAACTGTCAAGTTCATCGTTGTTCGCGATTCGTCTTCATTTACTAAGGCTGGAACAAAATCCTCGTCTTTTCGAGGAGGGATCGATCGATCGAAATCGTAGAAAGTAGAGAGAAAACCGAGAAAAAGGAAAGACAAGAAATCTGGAAGTTAAGCTAATAGGAAAGAGAAATGGAAGGGCCCAAAGAGATGTGACGAAGAACAAGTTCTAGCCCGTGTGTCAGTCGTGAAGTTGGTCACTCGTCATCTTTCAGTCGTGCTTTCAATCCTCCCTTTTGGCGGACCGGATCTAACAATCCCCTCCTTAAGTATCGAGTAACTTTCCTGGGCGACCGAAAGAACCGACGGAAGCAATGATCTTGATGGAAGAAAAGAAAGCAGGATCTTGTTAATCTCGAGCCATGGTGAGCTTTGATTTTTCCAAGAATTTCCTTTCTACCCGCGTAGTAACTTCTAGCGTGGATTTATAAAAGTCCCAGCATCGAAAACCGGTCTCTGTCTTGAGCTGGTCCGCCACACACTGCTCTGCTCGCTCGCTCATCTCTAAAGTCCCATCTTTTCCATACCTTCTCCATCTTTCTCGCATCTCTCTCCCACTCCCATCTTCCTTCCACTCACAGACATCTCTTTCTCTCTTTTGCTGCTCGTCCAGCCGGACTCGCGAACTAATATCTCGCTCTCGCCCAATCTGGCCACTATCTATCACGCGAAGAACAAAGTGGTCCTTCCGGGAGAGAAAGAGAAAGAGAGCTCCAAAGTGATATAAAGCTTTGATCTTTGGTCTGAAAGGAAGCTCTTCAGTCACTTCAATCAATCGAGCACTTGTGGAATTGTTATCCTTGGAAATGAAGGTATTCTTTTTGTTGTTTTTTCTTTCTTTGATGATCTGATCTGAGCTTGGAGTGATGGATTTCTAGTTGTTTGATTGGATCAGCCGGAAGCCCAACAAGGATCAGGCAGCCTCCAATGCAGCTGGTGAGTTTCTCTTGAAATCCCCGACACCGACATAGGATAGATCGAAGAAGAAGAGTTTTTTTTTGCGTTCCTTGGCAACTTAAAACTAAAAAGTTCTCGTTTGAATTCTTGTAGATCTTCTTCCTCGCCTCCAAAATCCGCAAAATCAGCGGCAGCACCAGCAGCAAGTCTTGAAGAAATCCGTCCATGCCGTGCAATCCAAGCTGCTCAAGCTCAACCAGTTCTTCGATCAGGATCCAAGCGAGCCATCGTCAAAACGGCGAGAGATCGTCAAGATCTTCGTCAACCACGAAGAGTATGGATTGCTGGCGATTGGAACGCTGGGACTGTACGATGTGTCTGGCGTGGAGCCAGAGATCGAGCTCTTCGAGGTGACGCCGAATCTGTCATTCCAACCAGATGGCCTCAAAGTTGAGCAAGAAAAACTCCAAGAGAAAGAGGAAAATGGAGCTCTAGTTCTCCGCAAGCCAAGCGCCAATGGAAGCAAGAAAGTCGTTCCTCTAGATCCAAGCACACTCATTGGAGGAACAAAGCTGCTCAAGAGATCCAAGCTGCTGGATCGACTCCTCCATCCTCTCACCCATCTCACTCCCAGCTTCAAAACCACTCCTGCGCAAGACGATCATCCCGAGCCCGGCAAGAAAAGCAAGAGCTTATCTCTCTTCAAGAAGCTCGTCCTTGGAAACTCCAGCCCCGTGAACAAGGTACGAAAAAAAAAAAGCTCTTTTTTCTTTCTCCTGTGACTGAACAGAAACTTCCCGAGCAGCAAATCACTAGCGACACTCGGAACAGTAGCAAGAAGAACAGTAGCCTGGAAACCCGTGCCATCCATAACAATCACCATAGCCATCACAGTAGCAATCACAGCAGTAGCGGCAACTCGAGGAGAAGACCCAAGCCATCGTCTCTCTTCGCCTGCGTGAGCTTGCAAGTGGAAGAAGGAGACACCGAGGAGGAGGAGGAGGAGGAGCGAGAGGCCGAGGTGGAGGTCATGGAGGCCGAGGAGCAAGAGCTTGCAGGAGTTGGAGCTGGAGGAGTAAAACCTTCGGTTGCTCTGTCACCATCTCCGAGCACCGGATGTGCTGCGTGTTCTGTTCCAGGGGACCCAAACCCAGTCCACCAGCAAACATGTGCCAAGCCAGAGTATTGGATCCGGACCGATTCCGATTGTAAGTTTCTCGCATCTCTCTCTCTTTTTTTTTCTTCTCGTTCGTCCGGCCTCTCGCTGATATTTTTTTGGTTCTCTCTCTCTTTTTTTTGCTTTTTCTGTTTATGCTTGTAACAGATGTTGTGCTGGAGCTGTAAGGAGGTGGAAGTGGAAGCAGCGGAAGTGAGGACAAAGGAAGAAGAAAACAGATGCACTGCTTACGGCTCTTCCTGATCTTGTGTTGGTGTGTTTCGGATTTTGTTGCTTGATCTCAACCGAAACTTAGAAGCCCAGGCCATGCATGGCATGTTCTTGACTATGTTGTACATCCGAAGTCTCTGTTTGTACATAAAATAAAACCAAATGGAGGAAGAACAAAACAAAAACGAAGAAAACCACGTCCGTAGTGGAGAGGATTAGAAATATTGACAACGAGAAGTTAAAACGCGAAAGAAGCAATGGAAATCGAAGGCGCAAAACGATCGTTGTTGCGTAATGAATGGATCAAGAAAGACTTTTGGTGGAGCTACTGCTGGTCGTGGAGAATACTCCAGCTGCACAGCAAAAGGACGAGGAGACCAATCATGGGAGGAGCGATTCGTGGCGGAGAAGTGGAAGGAAACGAGCGGGGCTGCGATGGCTGCTGCTGCTGAGAGTCTGGACTTCCATCGTCCGAGTTTTGGGCCACCTGCGGAGTGTTTGTGGTGTTGCAAACGCCTCGAGCGAGGTCAGCCTGCAAAAAGCTCGCAAAGATTAATCATGAAACAAGGAAAGCAACGATAAAGAAAGAGTATAGCTATCTGGATGGAAACTATAAGTAATACGTCGGGACCCTGGAAGATGATGGAAAACGCAGAGACAAGAAAAGAAAGAACTAAAAAACTAGGAGGGAACGAAGCAACGCCAACAACAAAGTAACAACAGTGAGGCAACAACGAAAGCACACCAAAAGGCAAGAAATAAGAAATGAGAAAATGGATAGGAAACACTGACCTGGCACTCGTGAACATCACCACATCCACACAAAATGTTCCCATTTAATACGTCTACTGCTTGGAATGATCCTCCGCCAGTACTTCTCTGAGGAAATCAACAGCAGCGATTAGAAAAAAAGAAGGAAACAACTAAAAAACTCTGGCAACTTTAGAGTCACAAACATAAAGGTGAAAGAGAGAAAGAAAGCGCATTGTAATGATAGACGGTCATACCTTGTAGAAATCCACAGCCAGGAAATTCGCCCATCGATTTCCAGCAGCGTTGTGGCAGGCACTTATAACTTGAGATAGAGGCCGGGAGTTGTCACGGCAGGCTTGAGTGTCCGCTGGATTTGTGGGGAAGTAATTCTCGAGGAAGAGTGAGACTCCCTTGTTGTCCAAAGCTGTGGATTCTGCTCGCTTGCTGCATTGTCCTGGCTGTAAGCCACCATCTCCGTCTGTTTGGTGGTCACCACCGAGGTAAACTCGTTAGAAAACTTAAAAACAGTGAAGGAAGTGAGCTCACAGTTCTAACGAGAAACTCGTTAGAGAACTTTAGATACTAGAGGTAAGGAAGTGAGCTCACAGTTCTAAGTGGTAGAGCTCAAACTTAAGCAGACAGTAGAAGGATTCTAAAGAACTAGAGCGGACAGCAGAAGGAATGGATCTTTCAAAGAAGAACTTAGAGCCGAGACAAGAGCGAACGAGGAAGAATGCAACGACCGAAGATGGTGATGCAAGGAAAAGGAGAAAGAAACTCGTTAGAAAACTTTAAAGCTTCCATGAGACAGTGAACACGAAGATACTACAGGTAAGGAAGTGAGCTCACTGTTCTAAAGAACTAGAGCTCAGAATTTAAAGACCTACAGCTCAAACTTAGCAGAAGAAGGATTCTAAAGAACTAAAGCTCAAACATCAGCATCTGGCAGTAAAAGAAATGGATCTTCCAAGAACATCGAAGAGAAAAAGAGGAAGAATGAAACGAGGAAAGATGGTCATGCAAGGAGACGAGAGCTTACACTGGTTCTCGACCACATATCGCCACTGGTAAGCAATGCCTTCGCTGGATTCCTTGGAGGAGATGGACGTGAAAACCACCAAGCGCTGATTGTTGGCTACCATGTTGGCGACGCTAGGCCAGTCGGAGCCATCCTTGGGCATCCGAGACACTGGAAACCAGTACTTCCTCAAGCCAGCGTTTGCGAACAGCGTGGAGACAGCGTTTGATCTCCTCACGTAGTCCTCGATGAAGATGGTAATAACTTCCGACGGGTTTTGCGACATGAACGTCTCGATTTCCCTGAGCGTGTTGATCGCTGGTTGCTACATAGAAAAACGCACAGCGATCAGAGCCAGGACTAACAAAGACTACAAAAGCTTGCGAGAAACTTTACAAAGGCAGTGAAGTTCTGGCACTGGCCTTGAAAAGAATGGCACAACCAAATATCGTTCATAAAGTCGTACATGTCGAGCATCAATCCCCGTACTCCGTTCTGGCGAGAGATCAAACCCGTGAGATAGAGAAACCAAAAGCAAGACAAGATGGTATACAAAACTAGCGCTTGATCTGTAAAAACCAACCTGGAGCTGCTGCGTGACACTATCTTCTTGATTGTCAAACGTGAGAATGGGAGTTCCCGTGAGCGATGGCGATCCTTTTATCGAGAAGGAATTGTGTGTAGTCAGCCACGAGTACTTGTTGAAAGGCATTGAGTTATTCTGTAGAAAGGAGAATGGAACTGATCAACAAAGAAGAACGCGTGAAAAGACAAAGAAGAAAAAGCCTACCAGCCCAAGAACATTGAAAGACTGGGTCCTTAAACATCTAGTCGCATTTGTACACAGGTTGGAGCAGGCAAGTCCCGGCATACAATCGGACGTTTGCGAGCACGACTCCGCAATCTGCTCGTGGAGACCATCACCCAATATCGATCGATCAGGAAGTAGCGAGAAAATCGAGGAAAACTTGCCTTACATTGGCCGTTGTCGCATGCTTGAATCCCTCCAAAGAGGGCAAATGAGAGGAGAAGTGGGAAGAATGTGACGAGAGCCGATCCTCGATCCATGGGAGTACAATCTGCCACAAAGTTTGATACCACGAAATCATCAAAAAGAAATACTAAACAATTAACAGTGTGTGAGAGAGAGAGAAATCTACGAACCCAATTGGGAAGGCATCAATCACAGGGCATCGCACATACCTCTCTAAAAGGAATCCAGAGCACCCCACAAAGCTTGACTGATGACCACCGGGAGAGCTTGAATCTATCGATCGATCCAGAAAAACTTGGAAGCAAGGAAGATCTGTGCGCGAGAAAGCAGTGGCCTGCAAGAAAACGAATGAAGGGACCGACCCAACAACGCCTCCCTTTCTCTGGACCCGGCTAGATGAAAGAATAACTGGGAGTGATGCTGACCGATTCTTGTTGTTGGGTGGGTGCTTTTTTTACTAACCTTTGCTTTTGACTGTGACAACAGAAATAAAGATTAAAATAAAGAGCTACCTAGCTCAATAAGAAGAAGATACGTGGAGGATGTTTACACATATATGGGAAAAATAAATAATTTTCATTGACAATAATGTGCACTTCATGGGAGGTACACAGCTTGGGGTAGCTTGTGTTTCAGCATATATAAAATATATAAATTCAAACAATATGTGTTTTTGAGTGTTTGGGTTATAAATAGATATATTAATTAGGGTTTAAATCCTTGCTTATATATAAGAATGAATAGATTAAATTCAGTCCTAAATGAATGGTGTATATGTTTTAATATTATAACTAATGTATTACCTAGCCAAGGTAATAAATGTGTATACATATATATATATTTACAAACTTTACACCATCCTCCCTTCCAAAAGATGAAAAATTGAAGAAAATAAATTAAATGAAATATTTGAAGTTTTTACTAAGTAATTATAAATTACCACAAGAATCTAAAGTTCCCACAAAACCACCAATAAAATTGTTGATAACCATGACTGAAATAAAACTTAAAGCCATGGCATATAACAAATAATACATCTCATCTTTAAGTCTACATGTCGATAATCTTCTAAGACAACCATTAACTTAGTTTTAAGACTATAAGTATAACAAACATCATCCTCATCTAACACCACATATAAAAAGTTGAACTCACTCCATTAATCTTTCACATTTTTCTTATCCCCTCCTTAAAGAAAAAAAAAGTTCTGAAACACTAGCTCTATTCAAGCTTATTGTGCTCATCTTCACTCTACCATCTATGTTCAACCTCACTTCACTATTGCATTCATTCAGCCTCATTACATTAGGGTTAGATGTTTCGTTCGAATTCACTATATTCGTCCTCACTCCACAATCCACGTCATTCATCTTCACTCTATTATTGGGGTTGCACTTTCATCTATCTCCTTTACCCCCTCCTCCAAAGAAAAAAAAGTTTGGAGTGTTGGGGCAAAAAGGAGAAAATAAGAAAAATTGAGGAAAAACAATTATGGAAGAAGAAAAAATAAATAAATAAAAAATTAGAAGAGGAATTTGCAATAGTTGATAATGCAAAAATGAGGAAATTAAAAGAAGGACATATGCTCAAAGTTTAGAAAAAAAGGGACTTCCTATCATAAAATACTTTGGCCATCACAATATAATTAAACGATTCACATCATTCAACCTCTTTAACATACAATTGAATAGCATTTGATATGGGAAAATTAATAATAATATCCATGTGCTAAGGAATGCAAAAACCCTTCAAGGTAAAGCAAAGGTTTTTAGCAGCACTCATAAATAGGGACATGCATTTAACTTGAAACTCTAGCCAAAGTTACTCAACTCTTAGAACAGGGGAATACTCAACACTAGAATAGATTAAATATTCTTTCAATGAAACAAAAATAAAATTCTCAACTTCATGCATACACTTAATCTTTAAATTAATATAAGGAGGACATAAAACACTCAATTCAAAACTAAATTGAGAATAAGAATCATGAGAGTCACAAATAATCAATGCGTTAGAAGAAGAAAACACTACAAATGAGGAAAAATTCTAAAAATATAAAAAAGTGGCTCAGGTTAAGAAATAAGAAAAAGTTAGGAAAGAGCTGAAGGTAAAGAGAAAGGATCAGATAATAGATTGAAAGATTTACACTTACCTCGCGAAATCTCTACTTCATCTCCAAAACTATCTCCATAATAATTAAGTTCTTCATTCTAATCCGAAATCCATTCAAGTTTATAAACATCATCTTCCCATAAACTTGATTCTCGAACATTCTTCAAGAACCAGATTACATTATCCATAGTTTGCCAATAAATGACACAATCATGTTCCACATAACGTGGGATGTGATTGCATAGCTTATCATGTTTTTAGTGTTTCACCATTTCTTGTAAAGTTGGAGACAGTAACACACTAAAGATGGGCATAACACTAATATGATCACACCCTATAACACCAAAAGTTTGATCTAATGAAGCAACATTAGCAACCTCAAGTGACATACTCCTTGATTGATGATGATATGGCATGATATAAAAAGAGAATGTACATAAGAAAGAGCAAATCTAAGCATAGTGATAACTAAAATTCTAGATCTTGCAAAAAGTTAATACAAATCTAAATCTAAAACAGAATGAAGAAATAAAAACAAAAAATACGATCCTAAACACTAAAGTAAAGTATTTTGCCCTTCAGGGAGAAATTGCAATGCCCCTCAATTCCACCAATGTGAGTGCTTGGGATATGGGAATAGGTATATTAATTAGGTTTAAGCCATTATTTATATACAAAAATAGATGAACCAGATTTAGTCATAAATGGACCATCTATATGCTTTAGTACTATAATTAGATTAGTATATTACCTAGGTAAAGTAATCTATATATATCTGTATATATATGTGTGTGTACTTACAAACCTTACATGTTTAAATTTTCTAAACATATATATATAACTCACAAAATAATCCTTTAAACACCATTTTTTTAAAGTATATTTTTATGACCATGTTAATTATTTCCTCTTGAAGATGATTTATTTATCAACCTAATCAAATAAACCAAGCATCATGCCAAAAAGAGTGTTAACTATAAGCCTCCATACTCTAATTGTTGCCACTACCAATTATGCTAAAATTCATAAATTGACTATGTGTTCACAATTTTTAGTGGTTATATACATCTTAGCATTGATTTAGAGTTTGACACCTTACCCCTTGGGTTGAGCCTAACAAGAAGTAAACTAAACTTGTTAGATATCAATTTCAATATATGGTGTGATTCTCTTATTCAACCAATAGAGTTAAATTTGAAACCCCTCTGATATTAAATGTAAGTTTATGAATTTAAACTTCTTGGGAACTAACCTAACCTAATATTTATCCCAAAACCCTTAATTGATTGGAAAATGAAATGCACTTTTGTTCATGAGCTTTTTCTCTTTACATTTAAACCCTTATAGACTATCCCTCAAGTCATTTTTTATGGTTGCTTATAGAAGTAAAACAAGGGTTTAATATAGGGGAGATGGTAATAAATGAAATTATCAGTGGATTGATAGAAATTATGATGTTATATAGTGTGTTCGATGAACTAGAGTGCACAATCTTACTATTGCCAATATGTTCGAGACAATTTTTATATTTTCTTGCCACCCAATTACAACATAACATTTAACAATCTTAGATGTATTTGCATGTTATTAGCAATTTTAGTTACATGGGTTTAATTTGTATATGGCATTCCTAATGCCAAAATTAAAGTTCATACAATTAACAATTATATTTCAATTGCAATCAAAACTTGATTGTATGAATATATATACAAACATAATATTATGTGCAAATCAAAGCAAATATATATATCTATACATGTGTAAATATATAATAGTATAATCATTGCCATAGATAGGTAGTGGAAAAATAAGTATGTATTTTTAAAGTGTTAAAAAATTTCATATATGAAACCAAAATAATATTTGCTAGATATGAAAAAACAATTACATATTAATACCACATATGGAAAAAAATTTCTAAATTATATTTGCAGGCAGATAAATCCAATAGTGCACTTGCTAGGAGCTGCATATGAATTACAAGCCCAAAGAGAGGAGGAAGAAACAGCAATACAAGAAATTTTTTCTTTAATATTGTAAATTTAGTATTTTATTTCTTTTTTAATATTGGAATTTTAGTAATTCACACCATAAATTTCATTTAGCATACTAAATTCTTTGCCACTACATTCTTCTTGAGTTATTTAGGTAGTGTGAAGGTTACAAAATAAACTCTAGATCTCACATTTGTCAATGTCATTATTATAGCAAAATATTATATTTTTATGCTCTAAATTGTAATTTTTAATAATTCCACTTTTATGCCCCATAAAGTAAAAAAAATTATTTAGCTAGTTAGTGAGTTTAAATGTTATTAATTGTCATCCCAAAAGTGAAGCCAACTCTTTCTTTTGTGTTCATTTTTATATATTTTGATTGATTAATTAACTAATATTAGACATACTATTTCTCCTTTCTCTCTAGATTATTATTTTTAAAATGTTATAAACTATTGATCAATTGTTCTAAAGTAGTGAACCAACAATTTACAACTTTATGCTACTGTGCTAAAAGATTTTTTTTTTCTCTAGCAAGAATTAAATAGGTTAAATGACTTTTTTATAAGCGACTAAATTTTCCTTTCTACTTTAGTCACTTAACCACACCTCTAACCACTTGGAGGAGTCTCACTCACAACCTCCATAAGTCATATTTCGGATTTGGGCTTGTTAGCCCTGAGAATAGCATCCCCGCCACTCAACCTTTGCACTTGGTCCAAGTGCTCCACGTGTTCAATCCCATTACCAACACCCCAAGGTACCATTGACATATTAGCCTATTACGCTAAGGCCATGCCCCTTCACCTTGGTCACACCGATAGTTTAACACCACCTACATCACAATCCCATCTCTCAAATACTAGGCCATCCATCCACGAGTGATCATCCCAAATCCATTTCTTAGCATCTTTAGGATGCCCACAGACATGGGGATTAACTTTCCCCCATATCCCTTTTTCAGTCCCCACCACATCCTTTTTTGTCCATAGCCAAGTTCGCCAACATTGCTACTAAATCAAGGCACATAAGCTTGACCACTAAGTCCCTCAATCCTCTGGGACTTCCTCCTCACATGATCGTATCTTTAGTCTCTACACTAGAGAATGGCTCCTCTTCCTTTTCATAGTCTGGGACTTTGGGGCAACATTTCAGATTACCATGGCCTTACACGAGCCTCATGGGTACTCTCCCCGCCTTCTGCCTTTGGGTGCTCTAGCCATGGGCTTAGAGCGAAGTTCCGTTGAGCCATGCCAGATATCCAAGTAGGTAGTGCCACCCATACTTGGATTGGGAGCATCGACCATTCGATCTCC